CCCCCCCCGCCCCATTCATTGTTACCCCATCTGTGTCTCTCAGCTTCTTTCTTGTTCTCTAGTATTAAAATTAACTTGAAATAAGACATTGTTATTTTCCCTGTTTGTACAGCATTTTAGCACAGGACTAATCAATGAGCATGGTTTATAGTATCTATGTTAACTGGAAACAGACCTTTCAAATGGTTAGAATGCTCATGTTCAGCTGTCTGGTTTCTGTCCCCATAAGGCTAGAATGAATGAATGATCCTGATCATCCCCAAAATTCACACCATGTGTCTGAGACTATTGTCTAAATATTTCTTGTGCTCTGTCAGGCTTGGTGCTGTGATCACTTCCCCAGAGAGCCTGTTCTAGTGCCCAACCACCTCGTGGTTGACAAACTTTTTCCTAATACTGAAAGAAAAGCACCCATGACACAACTTCAGGCTATTCCCTCAGGTCCTGTCACCACCAGTATCTGCCTCTCCTCCCTCTTCTTCCCTTTACAGGGTTATTGTAGACTGCAGTGTGTACTTATCTTCTTCAGGAAGGTAAGTACACACTACAATCCCATGGACTGAGACCTTTTCAACACCCAACTGAATAACTGGCAGTTGCAATTAATGCACATTCAACAATTAAAGCTGCAATGAGATGCTTCAGTTTTAACACCAATTCTTGATGCTCCAGAGCTTCATCTACAATCAAAAGAACAGTTAACTACATTATCACCTAAATCTCTACTTTAGAAATACATTCTTGTTGGTCAAAATTGAACCCTGACATTGAATTTATTTATGTACTAACTAAAGTATTCAATAATGTTTTGATGACTGAGAGGAAAGTATATTTACATAAGAAATGAAACAGGCTGCAGTTATAAGCTGAACTGGAGTACTGTGTTTCTACAACTTTTTGAATGCACTAAATAAAGCAAATCTATCTCACAGTCCCTTAAAGTAGAGTAAGTGCATTAGGTTCTAAGGCCCAGAACACACAGACCTTCGGAGCTGTGTCTGACAAAAGGCCAAATACAACCAAAACAAAAAGTTACCTGAGCTACTGACACAATGTTCTAGGGAATGCAGCAAAATATAAAATAGATGTGGAGATACTCTGGGCAGCAAATTCAACATTTATCACTAACTATCTGCTCATGGCTGTTCACTGATACCTTAAAGACATGTCGACATTTTCAGTTGAGTCTGCAGCAGTATTACTTCAGCTGTTGTGTTAAAATCTCCTTTATAAGCTTTGCTGACTGGACTGACAACATCCAAAAATTTCAATTTATATCAACTAATAATGACCTTGGAGTTACTTTTTTGTTTGGTTGGGATTTTTTGTTTCTTTTTCCAAGGATCAATCATACTGCTTGTCACAATTTGAACCTAGTACATGCAAAAATCCCTGAGTAGAACACAGAAGAGAGCACCAACTTCTCTGAAAGAAAAGCTTATAGTTTCATATATGGTTGTTTAGAATCAGCCCATTGTAACTTAAGATTTGTTGAGAAAATGTAACTCCATTGGGTCTCAATTTGTTCATAATTTCTGAATTAACATCATATTTATTATGGTACCTAATAATTCTAGTATTTCTGTCAGTGTAATTTTCCCCATTATCAACAAAGCCACAGAAAATATGATGATTTGTATTTTAGACAGGACAACAGGACACTTACATTGAAGAGTTTTCTTTGTGTTCGCAAAGCACATGCTGAACTACACCCTGCAGTTTGGCAGCCAGGCAACCTACAGTTCCTCAAGCAGATTGTGTCTCTTTTCCTTTACCTAGCATGTGTATGTGCCACCACTGCTTAAGCCATTATTTGTTCTTCAGGATGAAAGAAGACTTTAAGAAAAAGGGCAGGTACACAAATGGCTGAAAAGACTCCTGGGAGATGAAACGGCACAGAAAGATCAGTATGCTGAGCTCAAACAACCTGAACAGCGTAACAGGGTTTTTAAAGGAGATCCTCATCCTCCTGATTGTGCAGTACATGAGCAGTACAATTTGGCTGGTTGGAACCAAAAGAAAAAAAGCCCAGCAAAAGTACAGGCAGCAATATAGACTTGTACTTGCCTCAGGGAAGTGTGGAACCCACACTCAGTCTGACCAATAAGCCAACAAGGACATGTTATAATCCATCAGACACCATCTAGTCTCCTCAAAAGCACAACTGCTAGCCTGATAAAAACAGAACTTCCATAATACTGTTATTTTACTTCCTCTTAAGTTGGCTCCCACTGTCTACTGACAGTGTCGAGACACAGCAACTGGAGGGCCACGCTCCACCTCATACAATTCACTGAGCAGACACACATGGCTGAGGCTTCACACCCAACCACACCTACTGCAGAGTAAAGAAGCAACAGGCAGCAGGGAGCCAGTGCCTCCAAATCATCACAGTGACAACAGTTTTGAGCATAAGTGGGATAGTATTAATTAATTAGAAGGGGCTGAACAAGAACATTTCCTCGCTCACAAAGCAGCTTATTCTCTCCAGCTTCTCATATTCATCAAGTCTGTTTGGCAGGCTGCTGTCATAGTAATGAGCAGGATATCACAAACTGACAAACTTAATTTTATCTGTAGATCAAATGAGGAAATAAGATTTGAGACTGGAAGGAAGAAAATACTTAATTAAAATCTCTTTAATAAAGATTAAAAAAATATTCAGGTAAGCAGATGCTTCAGTTTCCTGACCTTCCAAGTCAGGACCTGGTGCAGTGCAAAAGTCCCCCATCAGCAGTCAATACCTGACCTTGCAGACTCTGCAATTCTAATAAGCAACCAAAACAGCTGCATTTGAAAAAACGTATAAAACAGTGAATGAAACTAGTACTAGTTTCTATACATTAGTATATTTCTATACATTATATATATTTCTATATATTAGTACAGAACACTAGTTAAAAAAAAGGGAGAAAGTATTAAAGAAAGAGAGAGATTTCCCAAAACTCTTATGTAAGGAAGTGGCTGTATTCTCTCATGGCAAAAGAAAGAAAGAAAGAAAGATGCATAAGATTCCTGTAAACTTTATTTTTCTTTTTGCACTGATGTAACCCAGTACCCACAGACCAAGGTTGTCTTTATTAATTTAAAAACAAACAAAAAGCAAAACCCAAATAAAATTAAAATTTAAAAATGCCTTTATCATTAGTTAAGACTTCATTTTAAAAATTCCCATTCAAAATGAAAGGCAACAGAAGAATCTAAGATAAAAGCCATCCAAACTCTCAGTCTTATGTTTGTTTTACTTTCCTGTCTGTACAGCATGTTTTAATTTAAGGAACTACACTACAACTGCAGCTCCTGTAATGTGTAACATGGAATGGCAAGGACTGTTCTAGCTTACAAAAGCAGTAACAAAATATTTTAATTTATCCCTTCCTAAAACTACTAAACTCTCCACCTCCAAAGTCTTCATCCCTTGTCTTATCCAATACATTTAGTTGCATTTCTGCTTTGGATTTCAGAATGAAAAGATAAGGGCTAATAATCAAAGATTAACTGAACACATATAAACACAAAAAGCAAGTTTTTACAGCTATTATAATGTTTTCCGTGATGTGCTGTTCAATCTTCCTTCAGCAAGAACTCTAAGACTCAATGGAGCCAGGAAACCTAGAGACACAGAGAACAAAAATTGACTTGACATGGTTGCAAGTCCCCAAGACACAGGAAATCTATTACTGAACTTCCAAGAACAGACAGACACAGCAATAGCAACTGACTTTCATGATCCCTCCAGAAGTTAAATATTCACTTCCATCAGCTGAAAAAAAAATCTGCACTTTCAATTCCTTTCCTGAGGCAGTCTCAAGAAAGTTACTTGATTCCTGGACAAAGAGCTGTGATAAACCATGGAAAGCCCTCTGCAAACACCTTAAAGATATGATTGCTATTTTATATTCAAAATACAAAGCTACCAGTCAAAGATTTCTCACAGTGACAGAGTTGGGAAAAGGCTCCAGGACACTGCCTCAGGAGGGCATAATTACTGTACATGTACAGTGAGCTCAGATTTTACTGCTCCAGCTGTAGAATTATATGAGCATGAGGAAAAAGTACTGTGGAAAAAAATTATGCCTGCAAACTTCCCTCGAGTGCATCTCACCATCTTTACTGCTGATTGAAACCGTAAGAGTCAGATGTTCCTCAGGAACCATGCTGATGACTCAGTGTCTGTACTGCCCCAAGCAACTACACTGAACGTGAGTTTATGGATCCTGAGAGAATTCATGTCTCATCTTACAGTCTTCTATGGTAAATAGGAAAAATATTGACCTGTATCACTGGCAGAACACCAAAGCAGAGAGAAACTTTACTATCTGTCTGCTCTCATGTTTTACTAAGGAAAGAGTATTGCTGGGAGCAGTCTGAGTACCAGCACAAATACAAACTAATACATAAACTTCAAGTCGTGTTAACAAACTGTA